TTCGGACCAGTTTTGCCTTCATGGGAATTCTTAGGGAAATTACCGGTCTACTTTAGTAGTCGACAAAGTTCGTTGAACGCGTTATTGTCATTTTGTAGCCAGGTTTACAGTAATTAATTAACTCGAATCTTCAAAAATTATATAACTTTAGATTCACCAAAGGTACACTAACGTGTCCAAACCGGTTCCTTAGAGCACCAAACCGTATAAGTTTACATCATGTGTGAATAGGGACGGCGATTGTGTGGGATACGTGCCTAACAGTAATTTGCGATTTTTATCTGATTCGCTACCGATTATTTCCTAACGGAACAAAGTTTTTTATTCTCACCAATGACGATCGGCTATACATCAGAGTTTAATCCTGACACCTGGCTCTATGGGAGGCATTAATCGAGCCAATACTTGATAATACCCAATGTAATATGCACTCACGAGGTAGTTTGTTACCAGCTTCCGTTATCTACTTTGACGTTATTGCCATTGAAATAAGATCACCTCAACCAATATTATAACTTATTTCAATGCTTTAACGCTTAAAATAGATGAATCTATTATATATTAGAAGGATGCAATGATTAAAACGCAATAATAAATAAGATAAAATGAAAACGTAAGAAAATATAATAATGTTAATTGGCATTAAATTCTTTCTACAGAACATCGATAAGGCACAACAGAGTTTCTTGCCTCTTCCTTTCCTGTTAGCCGCAACGAGAAATATGCCGCCGGCGACCATCTAAATAAAGCCACCTCGTCAAGATCAAGTCAGAGAGTTTCCTCAAAGTCTCTCCAAGAAAACGGCGAACGGACCGGGGTCAGTCTTTTCTTGGAGACGAGATCTCATCACAATCATCTCTTTTCCTCTCTCTGGCGACAACCAAGAGTCGCATGAAACGGACGAGGAAGCGCGTTCTTGAGACGGAGGGGGAGGTGGAAAGCACGTGCTCCGCAAACAGTTCTAAAACAAACATTCACCTATTCGGAGCAGCTACATGTGTTCTCTAGGACCCGAGGCAGGGGTGAATCAAGTGGAAGCGATAACAAATTTCCAGAGAAACCATTAAGGAATGCGATGTGTCTCCCGTGAAAGGGGACTATCGATTTTTTTACGATGCCCCGACGAGTGGCCAACGAGGCGTTCTTTGAAACCGTGATTAACTAGATGCAAACAATGCAGTATGTAAGAACGGTGTCGGATAACATCGGGCAGAGTTCCTTTTAAAGCCGGTTAAATGAGTTTAAAACTTCCTGAATAAAGTTTTTGTACTGGAAGACGTTTCAGGAAGAATGTTGCATAGATTAGGTCTGATTCTTAATAAACTAAATTAAAATTTTTTATAGGTATGAATAATACATAATCCCATTAATAAAACAAGCATCGATCTTAATTGTTTCACGATGAATTTGATATGCGATCGTCCGCGTGACACCCCGAAATCAGTATGCACTAATTCGGGTTGAGATTTAATTTAACGAACCATGCTCCAGTCGTCGACAATAAGTCAAGAGATTCATCATCCTCAATTACACTCAAACGGGGTACGCCACGGCCGTCATCATCGTTACCATCAACATCGTTACTCCCGTCATCGTATCTCTCCAAGAACCGATGCTCTCGCTACGATTGCTCCGCTCTGGCGTGACGATGTTGATCGATTGTGTGTCACTCGAGCGGAAGAAATCGTAGTGGTGAGGATTTCTGTTTATTTTCCTTTTTTTTCTTCTCCCGTTTGGAATGAACACTTTTTTTCAACGATTCATCGTGACGGTGTTATAAGATTTTATTGCTGTTTCGACTGCATAAATCAATAATAATGACGTTTATCGACGTTTATTCAACCGATAATTACGCATTCCGCGCGACATACCGCACTTAAATCGTGACGGGCGAAGGCTTTTCTTCGTTAGAAATGATGTAATGTGGCTGTGATGGTAACTAATTGAAAGATAATGCGGCACAAGTGGCGTGTAAGTGATTTCAATTTTTTAATGATTTGGTCATCAATTAAGATCTAACATAATAATAGAGTCTTTGATCAATTCCTCGAAATGAGTAGTCGGTCATCGAACGACGGTTAGGGCAATTGTATCCATTGGCATTGCGGGCAAGTTGCGGCAAAGAAGTAATTTTGTCTAATGAGCGTTTCGTTCACGATTGGGGCGTTCTTATTCGCCTCGCGGAACGTAATTGTTTGTTGTGTGGCTGTCGGAGATGAAGGAGACCAAGACCAGCGAACCGTGAGTTCTTCAATTGATTATTGGCAATTAATATCGGATTCCGTCCCACTTTGCACACGACTTGGCTATTAGAGAGCGCCCGGAATGGCTTTATTATTCGGAACGTCGACGCATTTGAATCGAAGTAGGCGGCAACGAAGACAACCGACGACGATGCTCAACTGTTAAGCGCGACCATCCGCGATGAGTTTGTTCGTGCGCGAGTTGTAAGGGCTATTAAAAGAGATAAATTGTCGCTTCCCGTTCGTCCGCCAATAAATAACTGTAATAAATAAATAGAACGGACGAATTGATGGTGGACCCCTTACGGTTGAGGCCGCGAATGGGAAATAAATTGCACCATCGTTTATTGTATTATGCGGATTAGTGTGGAACTCGTTTCATGATGTCGCATTAACGCTGATTTAAGCGACCCAACAGTTATATGGAAGCCGCAAGTTCGTATCTTCCCATTTTCACTGAATACAAAGTGTTTCATCTTTAAATCATATACGAATTCAAATCAAAATCAAAAATCGAAATCGCTAAAAACCGCCCACAACGCGTTGTAGACAACGTTCAACGCCCATAAACCGAAATGAAGTATTCTTTTGCGTTGAGGTTGTTGTTATCAACCATAATGCGATGTGTACTCAACGCATCGTGCGTAATAGAAAAACAACCATTACGTGATGTGTACATCTAGTAACTCTATGTGCACAATTTGCAATACTCACAAATCGAGCATTCCTATTCAGACTTGTTTGTTTGTTTGTTTGGAGCTCCATGTATTCTCCAAAGCGATAATGGGAGAGAATTTTGTAAATAAACAATCCAAAATTTAACTGAAATGTGGCCAGATCTAAAATTAGTGCACGGGAGACCTCGCCATTCGCAAAGCCAAGGTTCTGTCGAACGATCCAATCGAGATGTGATAGATATGTTAGTATCCTAGATGTTAGATAATAATACAAAAAAATGGGCGGAAGAGTTGAGGTTTGTTCAAAGCAGGAAAAATTGTTCATTTCATGAGGGAATTAAAAAAAGCCCCTACGAAAAATTGGACTGGCAGATTCATCACTTGGAAAAGATGTATATGAATTTTTAAAAACAGAAGAGGATTAGGACAAGTTTCAGTTGGAATGGCTCCAGAAGTTGATAAAGAAAACGAGAGTAGCATTGATGTAATTCCATGTGCATATGTGAGAATTATGAGAATCTCCAATCATGTACTAAATGTAAAGCAAAGGTACATGCGAAATGTTCAAAATCAGCGAGAAGATGCGAAGGTCGGATTGGTGAAACAAGCTTCGAAAATGTTAAATTTGTCTTATTGTTAGCAAAAATTTCTTCGTGCAGAAATTAGACAAAATGTTGTGGATAAAGTTACAGAGGTCGAAAATCGACAGGGGGCGACTTGCGCCTAGAAATGTGTTAGCTGTAGTTCAGAACGTAAATGAAACAAGTTAGGAACGAATGAAGGGGAACTCGACATATATTATCCTCGAAATGAATTCAACTTTGCAGATTCAAATTTTATTAGCCAGTCAGATGTGCCTAGTAGTCAGCTTTATCATCAGAATCTAAACAAGGTTTTGTTATATTGCAAACGGTACTAGAGTACTAAAAAGTGCTATTCAAAATGCAATGGCAGTAGTTCTTGTAAGAACAAGTATTATTTTCATTACATGAATTTTGTGTGTTACATGAACAGTGTTACAATACTGGTTTTTTCTTAATCTCAAATATTAGAGTAAAAATGATGACAATTCGTGTAAAAATTTTTGGTCTAAACCCATAAATGGCTAAGATATAGGGCTTCAAAGTCAAGATATTTGTGTATATATATTCTGTATAGCATTGATCTCGTGGTTGCATATTTTCGTAGTTTGCCAAATTTAATCTTTCTAAGACAAACCTAAGTATTGAAAATATTTAAGAAAATCTTAGCCATTTATGAACTTAACTAAAACTTGCGAATAAAATTTCTGGAAGTAATCTAGCTTAGTTCCTTATAGCAGCTAACTTCATACAGGTAAGTAGTTTTATACATCTTCTAATTAGTAAAAACGTATAGCTTTCTTTATAAGCTAGAAAATCTTGGATCATATTGCAATATGAGCTTTAAATAATACAAATCTAATAATACAAATTCAAACTTTTGTTCCACTTTGTATATAATGTTAGTTAACCCGCATCGTATAGCGTTTGACGTTGGTTTCGTTTATATTAAAAGTCACCACGCCCTCGCTTGATTTATGGGTCAATTTTCGAAAATTGGGCCACGGAACACTCGCGTAATGAAAGCAGTCTCGTTCTCGAGGATGTACGATAACGTGCTTCGCCCACTAATGGAAATCTTTAATGCGCCCCCGGTAGTCGATATCGAGTTTTAAATTGGTCTCTGTTATTGCGGACACGGCTTTGTGCGGGATTAGTAGAAGGAGATAGCTCAAATTGTCAACTGTAAATTTTCTTGAACGATTACGTGAGCGGTGTTCCTTTACGGCATTGCCAACCACGCTATACATTCAGTTCTAATCGAGGCGCACTCAAGCTGGAAAATAAATTGCACGTACGCTGTTTCACATCTTGTTAATAAAGCTTTTTATTTTTATAAGCAATCTTGGAAAATTAATTAAATTTGTTAGTAAAATTATGGTATATTTATGTAAATTTCTATAAAACATCGATGATTTTGATACATTCTTGTTAGTTTTTGTTCCTTAATTTGATGTGATGGTTAGTAATCACAGATGAGTTTCCAAATATTTCCTTACCGGTTTTTCAACAGTTGCTGTGGATTGTTTCTCTGTTGGGGGAATTGTTTCGCATGTGGTTTGTACGGTTTGTATTTCGATTATTTTCGTTTGGCTGGAGCATTGTGGGACACCCTTCGTGTGTTTCTTTATCGTACCGTTTTTCATTTCTTCCACTCGAGCGTAGTGGTCGGACTCTGTGATGTCGTTGTTGTTGTTTATCGCGGCTTTTTGCTCTTTCGATTTCAATCCGTTCTTGGGGGAGGACGATTTCTTTTTTTCCGTATGCCAGTCCTGGTGGATCTTCCAGCTAGTGTCTGCATAACGTTCAGCTGCCTCCTGTAACATGTTCGCTTTTAAACATTACAAATTTTATCACATAAAAAATTTAAGTAATTTAACCACTCGCATCAATATGTTTTCATACTATTAAAACCAATTTCATACGTATTTAGTTAACGACCCGTTACAGTGCTGTCTCACCGAGTTAATGGTCCATTATAATTTTATTTCACAACTTCATGCTTGTTAATTAACTACTTTAATTTAACATTAAACGCCGTTCGTCACACTATTAAATAGTATTTGGTGTTAAAATTTTGTGTTTACACGATACAGATTCGTAGACTACTGGCCAGCCGAGTTAACCAAAACTTATGCCAACCATATAATTTGCAGCGAGTTATAATCAAGGTTAGAATATTCCACATGCCAACGCATACCACCTAAATCAAATTTTACTAGTTCTACTTAAAAATCTTTTGTAACCAAATTAAAATCTCTAAAAATAAATTATAACCACAACGTAACGAAACGATCTTGTCCGTATTAAATCGCAACGAAAATCCGAGACGATATTTGCGTGTTATTCACGAGACCTTGCCAATGAAATACTTTGATCTCAACGTAGGACATTTGGAGAAGTTCCAAGAATTCAATCGAGCTTTTAGACTCACCCGTCGACGCTACCCCTGATGTTTGTTAATGGAATTGAAAAGTCGGCTGACTAACATCGTTTCCGAACTCCGCTGATGGCGAAATAATTCGAAGCTCAATAATAAATTTAAAATCGTTGATAAATGGACAGAGCACAAAAAAAACGACGTGCAGTGGAAGTATTAAGTTTGCCTTTCGGGTTCGATTGATCTCAACCGATCGATACTCTTATGAATCTTGCGCGAAGTGAGTCACCGATGAATAAAACGAAAACGAAACTCGGTTTGATGGGTTTCTTTCACGCACCGTTGGCGACTTCGTGGGCGTCACATCGCGTATGGAGCTTTTGCGATACAATCTGATGAGCTACTTATGATTTGCCAGAGAAATCTGATGAGAATGAAACGACCCACGGATCTTTGGTCGAGCGCTATTCAGGACTTAACCTAAGTGTCACTATTGGATCCGATTACCAGATAATCCAGAGATATCGTTTATCGATCATGACGCGAGAATATTAAACTTATATTTATAAAATTCGCAATATTATTTTGGTACTCTACACTGAATATTTAGAAACTTGAATAACTCATGCCTTAATGGTCAAAGGTGGATAAATCAAAAGAAATAATCAATTTATTCAGTAACTATCAAATAAACGTCACACTATCAGCTTGAATATAAATTTCGAGTTTTCGATTGCGAAAACATTTCGCGAATAGTTCAAACGATATCCTCTGAATACTCAGTCGTACAGTAACTTTCTAAATTTTGCAATCATTCCGCCCGCTCCTCAAACTCCTCGATCGACCGCAAACTTTGCCGAAATCGAATTAGAAAAGTTTAAATCGCTGAAGGCCAACCTTAAACCGGGTGTTATTTAGGGTCGATTAAACCTAATTTTATTCCGGAAACGGCCGGATAACAATGCACCGCAACATCGGGGGAGCTATAAAAGTCTCCCCAGCCGTTGAAAAACGTGTAAAACGTTTCGTTCCCTCGATTTGATTGTTCCATAAACACCAGAAAATGAGGCTACAGACAATGTTTACGATTGCCTTATGTACTCCAATTTAAATCTTCTAATTCTGTAGACAAATCTCCTGCGATTTGTACTTAACTCTTTACAGTTTCAATTTATTTGAGGTTATAAGTTTTTACGGATGATGTTAATTGAATTAAAACTAGAACTATCATTAGAATTAATATTTGATCTAGAATTAGAATCTTGCACGTCTCTCAAGATGGCTAAATCAGAATGATCTAGTATTAGTTCTAATGATAGTACTATTTTAGTTCAAATATTTGAGGTTGTTTGTTTAGTTGTTGATATGAAGTGTGTCAACTTTCTATTTTTAATTATAAGTTTATCGTTTTTAATTAACGAGGAATTTATTATTAAACTTAGAATTTTTATTTAAATAATAAAATACACATAAATATAATTTTAATCAACGGTAGTCGGTTATTTTTTTTTAATCTTACTTTATTACGGGTTCTATAGAGAAATTAACATAAGTAATCGTTGAATGTGGTAAGTTAAACCCGTCTTGGTTAACTGTTCGTCAGACGGTACAAATGATTTGTCTATCACCGAGTACGGCATCAATGTCGTCACGCATTATCAATTACATCTACCTTTCACGCAAACCCCATTTGAAGTTAATTTATATGTGGATGGATACGGGAAAATCATCGTTGATGTATCTGAGGTCATAGGTTATTTAAGATCCCAAAACAGGATAAAATTGGATAAACAGATTCCTTAATAACTATCTGTTAAAAAGATTTATTTATTCAATACATATTTTTAAGAACTTGCACTATAACAACTCAAAACGCCCAAACTTCGAGTCCCAAAAGGAATTCAAACTGTAAACATGTCGAAGAGGTTTTGGATGTTGACAGAACTATCCTCGAAAACTCTTCAAACAATAATAACAGGAACAGCAAACATCGCAGGTTTTATTTGTATACGTTCCCTTTGTATGGTTTTTTTTGCCGTCGATGTTTTTAAAGCCACACTTGAAATACGGAACAACTTGATGTGTTTCATTTCGATACGCGGTTTAAACCGCTATCAATCACTGGGGAAAACGCACTATTGTGTGCTGATAAACGTGCCTTCTCTCAGTTTTGAGAGATGGCGATTTATTATCTGTCACGAAACGGGCCCAATGTGACGGTACATTTGTAGAAAGACTTAAAAACAATGCGGAACAACAAGAAATGCTACTCACTCGGCGAAAACTACGGAATAACCGTGTCTGTTTCAATGACGAAGATACCATTGTTTATGACGGTTGAATATTAATCGAACGAATGAATATCCAATGACCGTATTTTGAGCAAATGACTATCGAGAAAGACGCAAGCAGATGTTTTCGTTGATTCTATTGTTTCATATTTTTTATTCACTTTACATTACTTATTTATAGCCGTATTGTTCCATAACATTTTTCATTTCTATTGAATCATTCGTACGTAATACCCTTTAACCTTTTATGACTTTGAATTTCCTAAAATATTTTTAACCATTTAACAATATAAAATTAGTAAAATCCTTTTACTGTGGTCATGAAGAAAAATTCATTGGACGAAGGTTTTGGATCTTAGCCAAAACAAAAGAAGATGCCGACGCCATCTCGCAGAGGCAGCGTGCTAAATCGTGACCCATTTAAAAACACACCACGACGATCGGCCGCTATTCATAGCAGGCTATATACTATATACAGGACCATAATAAATCGCCGATATTTATTGCGGACATTAATCAAGCGAGCGGGACGCGGGCGTATTCAATGGGTTGGAGTCGATTTTCGCCAACAGTCGACCAGTCTATTGGTTTTCAAAAGAACTTTTCGACGTCGAAGGGTGCCATCCAAATATCGAAGTGATTTAGAAAATTTACGAGACGGAAAATGTTGACTATGAATGATGTATAGAGTTTTCATAAATTCTTTTCTACAACAGAGGTGCTTCTTTAAACAACATTCTTTACACTAATGCTATTAATAAATTCTAATTAAGGCAACTTGAACACCTGTGGAATTCCCATACGTGATTTTTTACTTTTACTCTACGAGAAAAATCTTCTTTTTAAATTCAATCAATATGGAAAATCTGTATTATGATAGAAGAACATAATTTCAATAATTTCTGTATTACATATTATTTGAAAACAAGGTTATCTTACGAACAGAGCACATGGTATTAGTAAAGGTAATAAAAAGTCTAGGTACTGTTTGCAGAAGACTAGGTACTTTTGGAAAAAGAATAGATACATAATAAAGAGGCATAGTAATGAGAGATTAAATATTGCTAATGGAAGACTAGATACTGCTTGTAAAAGACTATCTACTGCTTGCAGAAGACTACCCACCACTGGCAGAAAACTAGATACTAAATGCGGAGGACTCGATACTAATAATGAGAGATTAAATACTGCTGATAGAAGATTCTGCACTGCTAGCAGAAGACGAGCTGGTCCATGCAGAAGATTAGGCGATATTGATAGAAGACTTGGTGCGGTCAAAGCAAAACTAGAAACTGTAATTACAGAAAACTTTAAAAATGTATGTGTGAACCTCAAGTCCTAGTTTATATGAAAAATCTTAGGTGAGTGTTTAGGTAAAGTATCACGCCGAAAGATGCAAGATTTTATAAGTTGAAATAAATGTTAAAAAAGTTAAAAAAAATCATTGCATTTATTGTAACAAAAAACTTCGCAATATAAAAATAAATCTTATCTTTTTCTAACTGATATCAACGATACAACGACACATTCATCATAATATAAGGAAGCGTTGCGTTGAAACCAACGCGATATCTTATCACATACATACACAAAGGTAAAATCAAGGTAGGAAAAATAAAAAGACAAATGAAATTCTACCTTTTTTAAACGTCTTATTTCCATCTCCGTTTCAATTTGCTTTTTACTCATCTTCTTATAATTGATCCTTTAACACTGTATCCACGACTTCGATGACACTATTTTTTTCAAAAGCTTTAACGTTTACGACTAAAGTGGAACTGAAACCAATTCGAGACTGAAACGCAATGAATTAATCGCACGATACAAGCAGCCCTCCATGGTTATTATTGCTGATTACCAACGATTATTTAATGTATGAGCAACCGGACCGGGCTTCGTATATCCTACCACCACGACACTTTTAATTCATTTGGATCCGTTTTCTCATTTTATTTTAACCTTGACGCGGACCGAGTTCGATTAATGTTGAACGTTGTTCCGATGTCGTTATCGATAGATGTTATTTTGCTGGAATTGTATAATGAAAAAAAAATATTTTGAAGGTTGAAGTTAATAATATTTTAAATTATTTTATTTTACCAGGGTTGACATCAACATTTTTTAATGTATATTAGAAAATTTAAAAAATTTCAATTATTCATAAGATTTCATTAATTTTAATATGAAGCTTTTAAAAATAAAAAATAAAAACAATTTCGTTCCAACCCACACGAATATCTAAAGTAGCAGTAATGTCACGTTTTTATTTAAACGTTTGACTTAATATATCGTCCGTTCATTTAAATAACTATTTTGAATTCCCCTCACGTGCATTTCAATATAATGTAGGAGGTGTGTTTTACATCTTCTCTGTATTCAGAGATATTCAAACGTTTTCATCATACGTCGAGAAACTCTATTTATCAATTGAAGTCGTTGATAAACTGAAGGAAGCGTGTTTACAGGGAAAAGAATTAATTTGATGACACTTCTTATCTCTCGATTACATACTTAATGCACAATTCCTTTTATTTTATAGTTAGGAAGTTTTATCGCTAAAGGCGACGTATATATCTTAAAAAGCTAGAGGTCAACCAAACAAATTACTTAATACCACGTTGCGACTTATTAAAGTTATTTTTCGCTCAAATATCATCTAACTCGCCTCTAACTGGTTGTTCATACTTTTAAATAGAATAGCAACTTTTACATTGTGACATCACGAATCTATCAATTTAAAGTGTGTTGAGTAAATAATTTTTTTAACGCGTCTTAAAATATTGGACATTTTCAGAATACGTGATAACCTCCACAAATATTTCTTGACCTTGGAATTTTGGACTGACGACGACATGTTTTAAACGATAAATGGAAAATACATGCTAATTAATAATAATATATACTAAAGAAAAAAGTTCCTCTATAATTCTCCACTTGATAGCGAGCAACAAAATCGCGACTAATTAATTAACATGCCAACTAAGCGCTCATTCAATCACGGTTGACACTTTGTACAACGGTTGAACGTTTTCGTGTCCATAATCTGATCATTATGTGGCCTTGCGTTTCTTTTTAGACGTTCATATAATTCGTGAAATTAAAAAAAATATTAATTTTTAACCTTCAGCAATTACAACAACGTATATCGAATCGGAATTACACTAAACGTCACACGTAAACGCTATAATAGGAACTTTTATTGGCAGATTAAGTGGATTACCTAATACACCTCGAACTCACTCACTAAATATTTACTATTACCGTATGAAATCACGGTCGACGATTTGATTTGTATGTTGTGCGTTGTAAAAATAAATAAAATGTAGCAATAGAATGTCGATAAGAAGCGGATACAAATAAATAAAAATAGTGGATGGGCGTTTTGATGCTTCGCGAAACTGAAATTCCTGAAAGTGATTGTTGAAAGCGCGAAGAAAGACGCGAAAACGACGCGTTCGAACGGCTAAACTGGCGCGCCGACACTAGTAGAGACCATAGAGTTTGTGCTCGGCGCGGTTTACTGAAAAGGCGGTGGCATAAATGTTTACGTTAATGCTGGGGAGCGATGGACGAGCCAAGGGAACGCCAGAAACATACTATTGTATACGTAACGGTGTGCGTTACCGAAGTATGTTCGCAGAATTGCGGATTATTTAAAATGCGATTAGCAATAATTTGTCAAAATTGGATTTTATCGTATTTTCTATTGATACATAATATAATTATATACAGTGAATTTCATTTAAGATGCAATATACAAAAATATATTTCCATATAAACCAGGGCGTACCTACTTACTTTATCCCACATACAATGCAACATGTCAATATAATTTGATATTACAGTAAAACCTCGATATAACTGATCAATACGGGGAATACAGTGTCCGTTATAGCTCAATAAAAATATGCAACAATCTAGCGCTGAATAACAAATAAAACTAGATTAACACTAGCACTAGAACTAACACTATACCTAGAACTAGAAACATTTGGGTTTAGCCGTCTTTAGAGACGTGCGGCTAAACCCAAATGATTCTAGTTCTAGGTCTAATGTTAGTTCTAGTGACAGTGTAAGTGTAAAACTAGCACTAACACTATACCTAGAACTAGAATCATCCGGCTTTAGCCGTCTTTAGAGACGTGCGGCTAAATCCAAATGATTCTAGTTCTAGGTATAGTGTTAGTTCTAGATGATAACAGTGCTAGTGCAAAACTAGAACTAACACTAGACCTAGAACTAGAAAGTTTCGGGGATAACCGTGCGTCTGAAGACGCACGGCTAACTTAAGCGTTATCATAAACGTTATCATAAGGTCGTCACCTTTTTCCAAGCAAAACTTTTCCTTTGTAAAACTACCCAATGTCTGTACTATTAAGCTATGTTCCATTTTAAGTGCAAGTGCATGGTAGTTTCATAACTATGGTTTGCATTCATATATTACGAGTTATATGAATTCCCTGTATACTCAACATAATGGTGATTGAACAGACTTTTTATTAATCAATTCAAATCTAAAAAACATATAAATATAAGAAAATACGTATAACCAACTATCATTAATTATTCAAATATTTTTTTACGACCACATTTTTAAAATGCAAAGCGAGTAATAAACTGAAACATTTTTCCCATACTCCTACGCTCTAAATATAGTGCTGACTACCGCTAAAGAACGAATGTGGTGTGTATATGTATGTATATTGAACGTGACGTGAAAATGATACAAGGGGCCGGATGCTAAACGCGGTGCCCAAGTCGTGATAAGTATGAACAACTCCGAACGGCTTGTTAGATGAATATCTGGTTGTTTACAGTTTTTTTTGTTTGTGACCCGTCTCTCGGTTTTGATTTGATAAACGTGGGTATCTTGCGGGATTAGCCAGCGGTCGAGAGTCCGTACCTCGGTATATTACGGTTTGTGTCTGTGCATCTGGAAATTTAATAGCATTAGTATGAATTTATGCCAGATTAGAGTCTACGAACTAACTTGTAATGATATATACGATGACTAAGTTAGACTCGGATCTACGTTAAATGTTCGATAATATATTTACCGACGGAAAGGTACTTTGATAAGGTCGATAAATAGTTTATTTTAAGGATGTATTATATTCTAAAGATAAGACAACTCAGATCATAAAGATAATTGTGACAAAAACAAGAAATGATTTTACTACAAATACAACTCGGTATTATTTTACATCGTAAACCTTCACGAAATGTACTACTTAGCAGATATTTTCTCTGTCATAAACATTCCCATTGCCATCTGTGCCGCCCACTGCGGCCCGTTGTTTTGAAATACTAATAAAAGTTCGTTTGCATGACCAACGTATATCAACTGTAACCGAGGAATATTTAAGCACAACAAACTCGGGGATATGCAAGCGCAAGAAAGACGACGAAGAGAAAGAGTTCCCTCTTCGGACTCCGGTCGAGTAGGTGCACTCGAACTTGTTGGTTTTGATTCGGAGTGTCGGTTGGTCGTCGTAAACAATTCACGTGCAGTTTTTGACTCCCACGTGGAAATTCCTAACTCTCATTCAGTTACATGAACGATGAAAACTGCATTTCTCACAAATATTTTATTTGAAATTAATTTCGTGTTGTCAATTAATTCCTTTGACATTAATCCTTCTTTGGTGTTATTAGCATACAGCCCATAGGAATTATGAGCACACTGATTGCATAGATCGTAACGATATGCACGATTGGAACTGACAGCCAAAATCGCCGGAAAATGAAATTCGTAATTAGCGGTTTCGGTTCGTAATTGAATCGTAACGTTGTTTATGGCGGTGGTGAATTATGATTTTATCACACCCCAACAATTAAGAATAATTCATTTAATTAATGTTGAAAGGTTAATAATATGTATATGGTATAATAATTATTATTTAAAACTTGGAAGGTCAACGTTAAAAGTAATCTGGAAAACTAATCACGCAGGATTGGATTAGTATACAAAACAAATCGTGCCGAATTTAAAGCAGTCGATTTGTGGAGCAAACATCTTAAATAGGTCGCGCGTTTATAGCACCATAAATTTCTTTACGCAGGGCAAAATAATCAGGATAGTTCCTTGAACAGCACACGTGGCGTCGTGAACATCAAATTTGTTCTCAGAAAACAATATCATTAAGTTTTAAAATAACCAAAGTCTGGGTCAAAGACAATAATTGATTATGAGTTATTTTTATTAAGACTTTCCATCTCGAACTAATTAGATCAAGTACTTGAAACGTTTTCTTAACCGCCCATAAAATTTATCTTTGTAATGTAGGATTCCGAGCTACTGTATTTATGGTTTTTGGAACACAGACGCCGTCAAAGAGAGTAACCAGATGGAAGCACTTACCACGTGCCCCCGCATTTACTTTATCGAAATCGTCTGGACGCGGCATCCTGTTATAGGTTAACGTAAACACCGTACCTTGAGTTTACCACGCATCAACGTACGTTTGTTTACGTGAATATGAATAAGTCGAGAAGAAATATGTACGACGAACGATTGAACAACAAACAATCGACGGTTTAAACATCTCTGGCCGTTCGCGCTAATTTGATATTTGGAAGCGATAAACCAGACGCCAGTTAATTAAGTTTATGTTCTTCCCGGCGCAGTGTATTTAAATTGCAAATGATACCGTGGAGTCGCAGGTCATATGACCTTGAACGAAACTCCACTAGATGTAGTCTTAAATGATGAGAGTTTATACAATATTTCGTATATATTTTTGAATACAAAAACTTTCTCTATTTTATATAATAAACACCCAATTCTTTTCTAAAAATAATTGTTTCGTCTTTTATTAACAAGTTTCTTGACATTGTTGAATGATACAGCAAATTTGAACTGAGGTATTATAACTTAGTGACAGGACTTGATACTGGTTGCACTTGAAGCAGACTGAAGGTAGAAGTCTGCTTCTGCATAAAAGACTGCATACTGGTGGTACAAGACTGAAGAAGAGTAAATGCCGGTGGCAAAAGTTTAGATACTGCTTCCAGAAGATTAGATATTGAAAATAGAAGACTTGATACTGATTGGAAAAAATTACATATTGCTTTCAAAACACTAAAAACTGCTGCCATAAGTCTAGTTACTTATTTACAAAGACTAGATACTGAAAACAGAAGACTTTGATTACTACTACCAAAGTTTCGATATTATAAATTCTCACAATACCAAATTTAAAAAATCTGATTCTTATAAGTATAGAAATTTGTTATTTGACCTATTAAATTACCAATTGATAAAGGTGAAATATGAATTCACCTCATGAAAGGTTATTGACTCGACAAAAGATTCATGATTCACCGAGTACCAAATATTTATTTATTCTTGCATGATGGAATAAGCTCTAAAGGTTTATTTTGCACACATTTCATCGTACGAACAGACGAACAACATCATTATACATACGTGTACCGCTCGACCTACAGAATGTATCGTGCTTATTTTTGGAAACACCGTCATACATATACTTATATTTTGTTCTTAACTATGCGCCGCGAAATTTATGGTTAAAGTACAACATTTTGGCTCGACGATAGAAATATTACTTAACCTTTCGCTTCGAACAATAATACGACGATTGGCGTCGAATATAAATCCCTGGCGTTTATTTTTGTTGAATGTGGTGATAAAAAGCTGGGGTGTTATTTATAGCGTGGAACTCATGGATCCTGTTGTTTTGGAGATAATTTTATTGTGGTGAAAGTGTTTCTTAAGGGATTCGATGCGAACACATGTTGGTACTTAAAACTTGATACATTATCTACGTAGGGGTAATAAGTTTACTTGGTCGTCGATGGATTTATTGTTTTCGATAAAGAAGCGAATTTTTGATACTGCGCCATTTTTATATGATTTTTTATCTACAAAGGTGTTGAGAATTCTTATCTTTTTGTTTGTTTTTTTAATGATATCTACATTATTTTTAAACTTGGACACATAGGTTATATGTAAATTTATAATTCTTCTACGAGTAATGAATCCATAAGAAGTATAATTCATTTAGTACATGACAATAACATTAATTTTTTCTTTAATTAAATTAGATTAGATTGTTATTGGATTAAACGTTAAATGTTTAACTAACCTTGAGATCATCCATAAAGAATTACAGGATATGACCTATTAAACACTATAAAACACAACACGTGAGTAAGAAATGCAACACCTTCCGTAATTATATGGATTCGCGAACATAATTTCACACGCAAATTTACTGTCTACGTCCGCACCTGAAGCAATCCCGTGCTCGAATAACAAAGATCCACTAAGCTAATGGACGTTACCGTAAGGTTGGGCGCGGGTGGACTGGCAGCAAAATTGATTGAACTTTATCACTCTGCTGTATCTTCAGTATTATCTAAATAACCCTGTCAGATAATACCCACTCGAATTGATTTGGCCTTGAGCTCCTAAACTACATGCTGGTCCCACATATTATTTGCAGTCTAATTCGAGGAATTT